GGAACCACATAACCATCTAAACATGTGTGTCATAAAACAGAAGAAATGATGATGCACAGTAATAACAGTAACGTTCTTTCTTATCCTAAATAATATAGACAACATTAATTAATTAATTTGAAAAACTGTAATCACAATTTCAGTGACTAAATACAAAACGACCCTGTCTTTGGAACATTTGTATGGAGGAGACATAAGCTTAGATTTCTTTGGTCCAATAGAGTAAACTGGGTTAGATTTACCCATACACAAAGAAGGAAAGGATTAGTGAATTATTTGTAGTCACTCACCCTCATTCCCTCCTGTCCCTCCTCCCCTTCAGCTCCTGGAGGCCCAACATCACCCTGCAGGGACACAAAACACAACACAGGGTTGTCTGGAGATCAATACACACATATACAGTGTGTGTGCATGCACACTCCTCCACTTCTATACACTGTTAGACTTGACAATGAGCTGTTGCTTCACCCAAGGCTATAGTTTTGTCAGGTACAAATTGATGTAAATTTATTGCTTTCCACATTGCTGGAGGGTGGCACGGACTGAAATGACTAATGTTTTGGGGTGGTTGCAAAAAAACATGGCAAGGTTGTACTGACCTTTAACCCCGGCTCTCCGATGGCACCTGGTTCCCCCTCTGCACCAGGCCCACCCTACAAAAATAGGACAGAGAAACAAAGGGAATGAGTCATGTCTAATATGAGCTGGACAGGAATATCAACTACTGTATGAATCCAAATCATTTAATGATGACTTGATAAATAGTTACGAATATTGAATTAAAAGTACTTCAGGCCCTTGTTCTCCATCAGGTCCAGCCTCTCCAGGAGGTCCTTTGGGTCCCTGCAAGACAAATAAGCATCATAAGGATTCTTTCAGTTTAATGATACATAATCTCATAATTGGATTTACTGGGTACAGTAAATCAGGAAATAAAACACCTGAATAACAAAACACAAAAACAAACACATACAGTTGAATGTTAAAGTTGAGCTGAGACTACCTGAAAAGTGAAGACCAGCCAAAGGCAAGATGAGACCCATAACACAAACCATGCCTCTGGCATCCCTGAAACCTCTCATACTAAAAAATATTGGTATCTGATTGTTTGACATTCTTGATGTCCCTGAGGGGTTGGCAGATTTCCAGGAAAATCAAGAACTTGGAGACTAATCCAAGAAGCACAAGGTAAGGAGCTTTAAGGTGTGAAGAATGCGCAGAGAGAAAGCAATAAAGGCAAATCTAAATACCCCCCCCCCAGCCCTGACAGCTTCTTTCTCAGGAAACGTTTGTGAGCAATAATGATTCTATGGATATTTTCTCCCACAGTCATTATAGATTTCACAATGTGCGTTCTGTTTGCAGTTTCCTGAAACAACCACATCAATGCAACAGGGAAAGCATACTTACTGGTTCACCGTGGGGTCCCCTCTCCCCGCTGCTGCCCGGAATACCTGGTTTACCCTGGAAAAACACACACAGTCATGAACTTCATTGTAGCTCCAGTCATTTGTGTAATTACAGAAACAAGCATGAGAAAACTTTGCTTTGACCACGGCGCTCTTATCATTGTTATCACCATCACCCACAAACATGACTCAGTCTTTGATGAAATACGATTGGCTTTCCTACAATTTCAGATCCTTTTGTTGTAATCCAAACATTGAGCTGCCAAGTTTAGACAAGTCACCCTTTTGAAACAGTGTTTAATCAATCATTGACAAAGAACGACATTACTTTAGCGTGTGTAAGAGACAGCTGGTGGTTCCAAGCACTATTATTTGCAAAAGTTTGACAAGACAGAGATGAATTCAGTAGCGTGGACCATTAGCTGTATAATAAATTTAAGTTTACATATTACAAAACACTTTATAATGTTTTAAATAATTTGCCTTTTTACTGAGTAGCTATGACTCAAAAGAAAAAAATACAGTTTCAAAATTAAGTATTCAAAATATCTTTAAACAGTGAAGCTGAATCAATTGAAAAAAAGGCAAAATAAAACATTATTTTCACAGCCCAAATAATAATAATAATCATTTTATTTATAAAGCACATTTAGTACAGAAAGTAAAAAAAACAAAGCAAACACATAAAGAACATTCTAAAATATTGGCCAGCAAAAGTAATTAAAGTATAAAAAGTGATTGATTAAATCAGATATCAGAATCAGAAGGAGCTTTACTGACAAGTAGTGTTTTACACATACGAGGAATTTGCTGTGGTGATAAGGTGCTACACGTAGACATACAAATACATACATACAAATATACAGTCAACATAAATAAATGTAGAAAAAGTGATTTTTATAAAATGTTAGTGAACCAATTACGTTTATGGAAACTATAGTATAATACAATGCTTTGTGACAATAACCACAATCACTGACATTAACTACAAAACTACATTCAGCACTGAGCTTAATGGGCTCTGACATCACAGATAGCAACATCATTTTGGGACACAATGACTTACTGATTCTTAATCATAGAACATAGAAATGGCGAGGAATTATTCATGATAGATTTTGATAAAAATTTTTGTCATACACAAGATGGCACTATGAGTCCAGAGATGGACAAAATAAATCCTGACACCCCCCCCCCACAGCTAAACATACAGTGGGTAAGTCAAAGCAGAGGTTGATGATAGTTGGCTGATGAGTTTATCTCATTAATAGGGTTTCTACAAGAGACAGTGGGTCAAAGCTACAGTTACTGTAAGTAGTAACTTTTCACTCTGAAGTGGAGTTCGAAAAACACACAATGGTTGAAAGTTATTGAAACTTTATCCACTGCAAAAGACTCAGAAGGACATGTCATAACTAGTCCCAAGTATGTGTCTCTTGTTATGTCCACAAATCTATGCGTGTGGGTGTGCACATGGCTATCTGAAAGTGACAACACAGGCCTGCATTTGTGTGTCTGTTACAAGTTATTACAAACAAGCCTCTCAAATTTTAAGTCAATATATGATTAGAGAAATTGAAAAACATCTAACTTGTCAGTGGAAAACAAAACAAGCCGAACAACTGAGTCCAACACAGCTTAAACATGCAGGTGATAGAGCTTTTCTCGGACTGTTGATCATCCCTTTTAAGTCGTGCTATGAAGGGATGAATGAAACTCCACTATAAGAAACATACTGTGAATTTAATGATCATCACAACCCATACGGATTTGCTTTGAATTTCTTTTTATTTGCATGTCTCTCCACAGATGGTAGATTTTATCCTGTCACAGTTCAAAATAATATCAAAACTACCATCCATCATTTTCTTGAGACAGAAAAACCAAGCCTTTGCTGGCAAAATGGTTCTCTGAGCTGCCAAAAGTGTGTGTATTATGTGTTACTAAAACAAGGCATTGTAGTAACTGCTAGTTGTTTTCTTTGTATGTGTGTCCTACATTAGCTGCTGAAAAGACTCCCAAGGGTTTGTTAACGTCTCATCCAAAGTGAAACCTCACCAACAAATCAGCTGGCTGATATCATCCACCATTATAAGCTTGATTGAATGGTATCAGCACACATGTCAGTGGATAAGTAACAAGAAACTGTAATACAGAAATGCCAAAGATTTAGAAACTGTTTTGCCATTACATTTTTTGTCCACCAGAGAGCACTGACATAGTTTATTTTTCAAATGAACAATGTTCCTGCTCCATATCCACATACATATCTTGGTCACATTTCTTTAATGACTAGGTTTAAATGATAGTTGTAAAAAGGTCATTTTTTCCTAAACGTTTTTACACCCATACTAATGAGTGGTATCGGACTCAAACATCCAGCATCAGTGGAAGTCTAATCTAAATGTATTTCAAAAAACATCAAAGTACATATTCTTCACAACTGGACATAAGATAAAGCTGTGATTAAAATACAACCATTGTTCCAAATTAATGGCTAATCTAATCTCAAAGCATTATGAACAACAGTGTTAAAATCAAACAAAAAGAATTACTCATTCATCAAAACTGATGTTAGCACTGTATGCTGAACGAAAACCTTGCACCCACACACAGATGAATAAAGGGAATACATGGACGGATGTTTTGATTATGAGCCAGGAAGAACTGCTTAGCTACTTCTTTTAACTATGACAACTTCTACTTGGGTGACTTTATTGGTGCACACTCGCACAAGTGATAATTATATATATATACTACAGGTGAAAAGAGGATGTGGGCATGTTTTACAAGTCTGTGTTGTGTTTCTGTAGCCATAGCACTGCTTATTGCTAAAGTGAAGAGGGAAAATAGAGTAAACCAACAACTTTAAAAATTACTTACATGCTTCCCAGGAGTGCCTCTCTCTCCTGGAATGCCAGGCTTGCCCTTCAAAACAGAAATGCGTATTTTAATGATTAACATGCAGTTTCAATCAACCCTACTGATATCAATTGATTTTGAGAAAAATACTGGCAACACACTCATCTTCCTGCAGGTCATCAAAGGGAGCTTCCTTGTTAGATACTTCATATTTTAAGTTTAAGAGAATTTCTCTTAGATTAATACAAAATCCAACTGATGCAACTAAACTAGAGGGATAAGTGAGTGTAGTAGTAGGTTGGAAATGCTACATGTTTAGTTTTATGTAAACAGACACCCCCCATTTATTTTTTTTTGTTATAATTTATCTTTCCTAATACACTAAGTCACAACATAAAGGTAATGCACTTACTCGGCAGTAGATGGTGCTCTGGTACTGCTGTGGATCAAGTACGGAGGCTGCAGCTACAAGCTCCGCTCATGCGCAGCTCAGAAATAAACGAGCTCTGGCTTGAGCAAGATGCTAATTTTGGTCATCTCTCTATTAATCCACAGGTACAGTAAAACTTGTTTTTCTATGTTTAGCTTCTTCGATTAGTATGTAATGTGAATGCAGTATAAAAGGTTCTGTAGTGTTGTAAGATGATTTCAAGCGTCGTCATGTTAAGTAGGTTTTTTTCATGAACTTCAGTCTCTCACAGTAGTTTTGTAAGTGTGAGTAACTAACATTAACATTCTGTAACAGTCAAAAATGTGTTGTAGACGTTGTTAAGAGTTTTAGCCAGCCAGTAGTGAGTAAATTGCCAGGGGAAGGATACCATATTCAAACTAGTGTGCAAGTGTAGGAGAGAGTGTGACGTTTAAGAAATGTGTAGAAAAATGTACGTGTATTTTATGTTAGTGTTACAATTAATGTTAGCAGAAATGTAATGTGTTAATATGTCCGTGACTGTATCGGAGGAATCAGGGTAAAGTGAGTGTGTGTTTTGAGTTATATTATTTTGTTACGTGTTATTTTGAGTTAAGTCGATTGTGATTATGTGGAATATGTTAAATTATTTTGATGTCATGTGTACTTATTTTAAGGTAGAATGCTTTATGTATTGTATATTGTCAGTTTGGTTATGTCAATTGTTGTTTATTTGTGAAATGTTTAGCATTTGTGTAACATGCACTTTAAGCAGGAAGATTGAGCAAGAAATAATGTGACTGAGACGGTATGTGATTGTAGTCAGAAATAAACGAGCTCTGGCTTGAGCAAGACGCTAACTTTGGTCATCTTTCTATTAATCCACAGTGGCTAAACAGTGCTCCCTCGCCTGTGTAACCTGTGCTGCCTGTCCAGATTACCCCTAGGTCTGGCGCCGGTAACACTTGCAGTATTTGAATGATTCAGCACAACAAAAACACTCAAACAAATGTTCATAAATGTTATAGCTCTGACACAAAGTTAACATTCATGCTGCTCAGCACACTTTGCTAAGGTTTCCTCACTACAAGCAGGCAGTGGTACATATTAACTGCATTTGGGTATAACCTGATACTGAGATGAGAAGACAAAGGCGCACTCTGCAAATGAAAACTGATTAAAGCTTTTATAGAGGCCCAGGGATTATACTAGAGGAGGTGAATGTGCATCTTCAAAAGAGATTTGCGTTTTAACCTAAATGCTTCAGGATGATGCCTTTTATTATAATTTGATAATTATTCTTGGCTTTGGATGAAGGGAACAAATAAAAGTGCCTTCGCATTTCTTAAGAGCTTGACGTCTTCATCCAGAAATGTGTTCGATGTAAAACATTTACAGCATGATAACCATTCGCAAGTATCTTACAAGTATTTTTTGTGCTTTGATTATAAACTTCGTAGTATGATGTAGGGATTGCCCAAATTATGTTTTTTGTAAATAATAAGGAATATTATAGCATAGCTTTTTTCCACTCGCCTCCATACACCTACCAGTACAGTCAACCAGTTATATGACTGGTCGCTGACCGCTTTCAGGAAGTTCAGCCCAGTTATGTGACTATTTTGTCCTTTTAAAAAAAATAATTTTCTTCTTGAGAAAAGCTTAGGGGGGTTGTGTTTTATTTGTTTTTTTGTTTGTGGTTGGGAATGCATGCTTTGTTTTTTTTCTGGTTGGATAACCTATAAATCCAAATTCAGAATTTTTTGTTGTACAAAAAGATGCATTTAACTACAACTGCGAAATCTCACTGTGGAGTGTTTTTGTTCTTTTTTCCTTCAGAAAAAGAACTCAAGCACATGGAATGGATCTCTTCTGCTTATCTTCGCTCTAATATAACATTGGAAAATTGAACTGAACATGTGGTTGAGTTTATTTAAATTGAATGTTTAATTCCCCTGCCTTACAAATTAAGTATAAATCTGTTTGTGTTGTGAAAAACTAACCAGGGGTAATGTGTATAAATGAATTTGTGGGGTTTGATACTGACCTTTCTTACTGGGGTTAAAAGATATATTAATTGAGAGACTACTTACTATGAATCCTGCCTCTCCTTTTTGTCCAGTGTCACCCCTTTCACCCTGCAAAGAAAAAAATGACACATTTTGGAAAGGGGTTTTCAGGAAAAAAATTCAGAGGGACTAATGAAATAAACAATTCATAAAAGCAGTGTTGGGTGGATAATTCCAGTTCTAATACTGGCTAATATACAGGAGGAAGGACATATTTCATGCAAAAGTACTATCTAGATCCCATCTTCACATGCACATGGTAATGTTTTCAACAGGGTAGTGTGCATGTTTACCTTGGTGCCTTCAGGGCCTGGTTCTCCCAGTGGGCCATCAGGACCCCGTGGCCCCTATGCGACACGAACATGAGACACACCTTTGAACATCACTCAACAAAGAATGAGTAGTACATGAACACATTTAGCATCAAAGTATCATAAACAAGCTGAAATATGTACAGCTGAAATAACACCACCAACAACAAGTAATTAGTCTGCATTCTTTGTCTACTTGGTGGGGGGGGTTTCTGGCCTGATGCCACAGCCTAACACTCCCACAAACATTCCAGGGGTCTCACAGGATTGTAACACCACCACACAGGTATGGTGACAGATACAGATCTGTAAATACAGGCCAAGAGCCTCCCGTTTTGTCTCTTATCCACTCTTTCACGACTTTTCCAGTTTCAGTGTATCTGTCTTTGCATCTTCTCTATCCTTTGATGGCTCTCTATCTGCTCTTATTTTCCCGGAGCCTCTGGCATTCAGTCAGACTCTGCTCTCTTAAAACACCCAGACAAACTCGATTTTATTTTTCTCTCTCGATGTTCTTCCTTTCGTCCATCTTTATCTCTAATCTTGGATTAAAGGGCATAGGGGCAAATATTTCTGATGAGTTTTTGAGGTGGCCAATGCTACTATAACTTTGTCCTTGTCAGTCTTGACTATTTAGAGTTAACTAAATGAAAGGAATCATCATCATAAAAAAACAGTTTCTGGTTATTGTTTGTGTGTTGCAATGTCATTTTAACAATAAACATATAGAATAAATTGTTCGAAATGTATAATTGATTTAAGGAAGCCATGACAACTTCTTATCTACAAGAAATAACGCATATTATTGGCCAAAAGTTTGTCTACAGGAACATTTGTGGAGCAGGTGAGGATTATTTCACTGTGAGATCATAGATAATAGATCAGATATGATGGAAGCAACGTTCAGAGCACTACCTGTTTTCCCTAGAGAACAACTCGCTTTAGAAGTAGTGCAAGTGTGTGCTAACTAGATCATGTGCACAACACATAATTCCGATTCCAGGATATGACTTATTTAGAGTTCAGAAAGTAAAATTTTAAGAATGGATAATAAGCAGTGTAGCATTTCCTTTTTGTTGCATAATAAGGTAAATCTCTTCTTGAGAAACCTCACTGTTGAGAAAGGATGTGTTTGTTTATACTTTCTCTATTAAAAACATCAGCTAGCAGGGGAATATGTGACTTTGGTTCAAATGATTACCTTTCACATTTTTCTTTGATCTTGGTACCTCAGCAAGACAGGAAATGCAACCACAAACAGACATGTTTATGGGATTGCGGTATACAACACAAGCCGTGGCATGTTAAGTGCTACCATATGTTTTACTTGGCAGAATGTTCAAATGGCGGAAAATAGATTAACAGAAGATAAAAGGAACTGAAATATGGGATGAGTTATGAAGTGTAAGAAGTAGAGTGTTTGTGCTCAATTGGCTTATTAGTGTTTCTCTGCCATTTCTCCCATTAACTGAAATGAACGCACACTAAACTAGAAAGCTTTAGCCATGTCACTTTTAGGCAGTCTGGCAGTGAAGTGAAGCACAAGCAAACCTTCAATTTAGGAAAGATATAAAGGAAATTAAAGGCAAAACTCTAGCAAAGAGGACCTCCCGGGATGTGCTGCTGCCTGCAAGCAATCAGACCAAAGTGGGCAAAAGAGAAACTGACAGACAGTGCCAACCTTAGAGCTCTATCCTATCACATGAGTACCCGAACACTGACAAGGAGACACCTCCAAAACAGTACAAAACCTTTGACTATCATTAATAATACATGGCTAACATGCAGTCGACATAACCCTCAATAGGAAAATAAACGTGTCAACAGTCATGTTCACAGTCTTGGCACAAAATATTTTTTAAGAAGATACCAGTTCATCAAAATGTGAATGCCCTGAAAATAATTATTTAAACTGTAGGTACATTGCTTCTTGACCTGTGTTTTTGGCCACTGTTCAGCAACTGCAGTATATTTGATGATATTTGAATGCAGTACTGTTACAGTGATTAACATTATTTTGTGTTATTAAATGGTTGTCAACATTGAATAAAAATTTGAATTGAGTATTTGCATCTCCGAAAGTACAGCAAAAACTAATTAACCTATAGTGTTTGTGCTGCGGATGGTATTTTTTATTATTATTTTAGTTAGTTATACCGTTATTGCAATACATTTTTAAGATTTATTCTTCCTAGGACACAAACTCATATAGTCACAAGTCAAAATGAAATATATTTTTCTTTGTTCTGATCTTGTACACTGTATACTCTGCAAACACCTCAGTTTCTGCTACTGCTTATTTAGGTTGAAATTCTGTAAAAGCTCCAAGACCCCTGACCAAAATTACAATCATACATCTATCTTTGGCTCCTGAGCTGAAGATGTCATTCTCCTCTCAGCCACACGGTGTCTCACCAGTATTACAACACCCCATACACTTGAGATTACCATAATGTCTTCCAACATGAGATTCATGGAACTCATGAAACAGTTGTAAATGCACCTATAAAGAAGCTAGGGCCAAGTGGAAGGACAAACACATGTCTTTTAATTGCTTAAACCTCTGATTTACGGGAATGGAGCTATGATGCAAAGCAGACAACTAAGTGTTTTCATGGTCACTATTGAGTTGAAGTAGGCTCACATACGTAACATACAAGAGACTACTACAACTAATGTCTCAAAGGTAAAGACAACTCTTACCCTCCTCCCCTTTGGCCCAGAAGTGCCTGGATTTCCCCTCTGCCCCTGAGCGCCCTGTGTGGAAAAACAAGAAAGACACAAGAGTAAAGAACGGAAAAACAGTAAAAAAAAAAAACTGTAATTTCACAGTGAGAACATTTACACAAACTAAAAACGACAAAACCTCTCTATGCAACTTCACTCGCATCATCACTAGTCATGTGAACCTAAGGGATGTACTACACATTCTTTCGTACAACTACTGGAAAATCACCCAGTTAAGACATTCTGTTTACACAAGTCTAGACTAAACTGTGGGAAACAGGAAAACTGATACATCAAATCACTACCTTAAATTTTATGTGTTTGCAAAAAACCAAGATTATGATGCTCTAACTCCAAGTCCAAGTTAATATTGCAATTTAGGCGTGTATAATATCCAGCCAAGACACTGAGAAGATGAGAGTCAATCCATCCAAGCTCTTCAGTTCGTTAAGTACTTGTGTGTTTATGACTTGATCCAAAACGCAGAGGGAGCAAGAAAAGAAAAAAACCTCATCAAAGGAAGTTAATAAAAAAACAATATGTATATAGGAAAGTGTACAGTAAATATAGATTTTACATGTAGGCATCCCAGTGCAAAGAATCACTGATGAGGGTATGACACTTACAGGAGCACCTTGCATTCCGATGTCCCCTGGACTTCCTGGCAATCCTGGATAGCCCTTACACCAAAACAGAAATAACAAACAATATAGAAAAGTAGATAACAAACTGTGTCACTGTTTAGGGGCATCTGTTACATAGGTAGAAAAAGTGGTTACCATTATACAAATGATTCGAGCTATGCTGCATTAGTGCCTCTGGATTTCAACAATGACTAGTGTGGAGCAACAGCACAGCAGCAGTGCAACACTGCACAGTGCTAAGGTGGCTACATCTGTGACTGGAAAGGATTAGGACTGTAGAATTGTGTTTCATATTAAGTTGTCTTAGAATATGCTCCAGACCCTCTAGGAAAAAACAGACAGCTCATCCCAGCACTATTCACCATTTTCATTCTCTTTCTGTAATCATAAAAGGAATAATACCACAATCAGTCAGTAAAGACAAGGAGACACTAATTCCTGCAAACAAAAGAAGAACTTCATAAAATGATCATTGTAATCTGTAGTGAAACAGCCCTTCACACTGAACTGCCACTCCTCGCTAATGTGGCTACATTATAGCCCAAACTGGTTCACACAAATCACCATAACACCATTACATAAGTCACAAAGCTTTCTCCCCCTCTCCCAGTCAAACATGTACACACACACACTAGCAGTGATTCAATCATCTAACTATTCAGCAAGCCAGCCACCAAATTAGTCATTCTGTCTTCCAGCCAGCCAATCAGTCGGCCTGCTAGCCATTCTACCTGCCAGCTAGGTCAGGACTGAGCCCAAAGCCACAGATATGGAGTTAATCCAAGGCCCCAGGACAGGGAGGGATGAAAGGCCAGCCCTCTCTCTATGGACTCAAGCAACAGTACAGACAACAGTGGAAACACTGCTGCACTGAACAGCAGCATGGTTTTTGCTCTGGGGAATCAACACTGTTAAAATAATTTCCATGCAAACACATTTTCCACAGTAGTGAGTAGGCTAATAAAAAACTGCTAATAACCTGCAAATGTACAAGCATTCATCAAAACCCATTTCCTGGGTCCGTTTCAGTATTGGAGAGTTGGTGAAATCCTTAAAAATGTTATGACTTTCAATGAGACACAATCTTACTCACCCTGGTATTTGAAACTGCTGAACAAATCTCAAACTCACCAGCACCAGCTTTTGTCATTCTGTCAAAGATTAGACAGCACTGTGTGCCACTGGAGCCTTTTACTGTCACAACGAGGTACAAACTGTGAGTGGCTGACACTTGCCAGCCTCTCATTCAGACTGATAAAGGAGCAGGACACCAAACATAATTGCTTCAGTTAGGTAAATCTATCTCAGACACTATTTTTAATTTGCAACAGAGCATTGACAAAGACCTGGAAAGAACACTAAAATGTCTTTCAACACAGCTTAATCTAGTGTCTACAAAGTCTAGTCACTGGACCAGACCAGACAGAGTGATCCAAAAAAGTCACTGGAAAAACATCCTCAACATTACTGTGAGA